GCAGGCAGTATTATAATTACTAATCGTTCAAAGTTGTGCGCATCTGTGCATACCTGCACAAATAGCCCACATCTTTTAATTAACTTAGATTAGAAGAAAAAAAACAGCGATCAATGTAAAAATACTTCTTTATTTTCATCATTCAACATTGTATTTTGGGAAGACATATTTGTGTACAAAAATGGTACAAACAATGTTAATGTCACGAAGACTTGAGGAGAATGAGCGCTTAAAAAACTTATTTACAGCTTCTTTTATTATGTAATAGTTACTGATAAGGAGCTAATAAGCTGCTTGATCACCATTAGGTGATTTGTGCGTTTACTTAAGACTCAAGTATTCCCGTCTACGTGAGCGCGGCAACGTGCGTAAACGGTTTGCAGCAATTAATTTACACACTTTTAAACTTAACGTATAGTTATCAAACAGAGTTCACAGAACTATATCCCCGAAGGAAGGTAGGCAGAGGTGCATATTACAGTACTTATCGCCTCTGTACAATGTAACACCCTCTTTTCACTATTTATGTTATGGGTCCCATGTAATAGGGGGTGAGCCTATTGCCATATACCAAGCATAGTTCCAGACTCCGTGTTACTACTGAGATTTATTTAAAAAACCCAGTAATATTTTGCTCGGCCAGAATCGAACCCGAGACTCCTTGCCCGGCAGTCGCACTTGCGACCACTCAGCCAACGAGGCAGTCAGGTTTCTTTTTATAAGGCTATTAAACATATTACTAAACAAAAGTAACCATAGAATTATAATAAAAAATAATATCAACTCACACAACACTACATCAACATAATAAATGACAATAATTCCATAAGTATCAATGAATTAATAGAAATAACAGAATCATTAACAATACATATTATTATTTTTAATGAGTATAGTAAATACTCTTTCATATCAGAATCCGATAATTATTAACTAAAACGAACTTTATTAACATACACATAAAACAAAAAATTTCACGTTCAGGGCTTGCGCAGACGAAGGACTTTTTGCTAAAGAGGACAAATATTAATTCAATATTGTGGATAAGATCCACTGAGAACTTGATTGCATCACAAAGCACACTTCTTTGTTGAAACATCCCTTATAAAGTATATTGAATAATTCACAAAAATCTGTTTGGTACAGTTGGGGCAAGTACGTTGGTCAAAGTCTTAAGTCTGTGTAGGCCCTTACCCAAGGCACTTATTATGAAAACAATGTTTTAAAGGCACTAAACGACTTGCGACTTAAATCTACATTAATATCTTAACACGAGTACAAATACATATTATTATCAACTTGCGCAACTTTAGCGCAATGACTACAATATGGTAGCGCAACCAGCATTGTCCTTTATAAAGTTTAAAGAAATCACTTAATATATATCCCCAAACTTTGTTCATACAAGAGTAGTCTTTAAACATCCGAAATAAGGTCTATAATGAAGTTAGTGTCGAGCAGTCACCAATGACCGCTTGGGGAATGAATAAGTTAATAAACATAATATCGAACAGAAAACACAACATCAATAAGATTCGAAAATGTCAAAATGTATAATGAATCAACCAAAAACTAAAACGGGTTTGCAATTTAACAAGTGCTGGAAACTCCGCAAATATCAACATTTGTAACATTATAATATTCTATAAATTCTATACTAACACTAAACATAATTTTCCATTTCCTAAAATTATTGATTGAATATTATTCTGAAACATATCAGTCATTTCTTAAAAAAATAATACCTCAAGCTTACAACTGCATTGAAAACGAAAAGAAACAACAATTCTAGGTACAAAAAATAATATCTTTCTAATAAAATAATTACTTTGGACATACCATCAATAATTACAACAACATTCCCTCATTGGTTACCCGAAGATGTCAACTGAACTTTAACAAAAAATAATGTTAAACGATTGTCGCTAGTTATGTATCCCTACATTAGGGAGCGGCCCTATTGCCCTTTCTATTAAAATAGGGAGCAATAATATCATGTATCACATTTATTATACTCAGCAACGATTGTATTAAGAACTTTGTTATAGAAGCCGTCATCGTGTCGCAGCCTGTACAGGGCAGTGGTGAGGTATCGCTGCACCAGCGTCGCGCAGGCGGCGGCCGTCAGTCCTGCAGTACAGAGCGAACGGGACGCGCAGCACAACGTCACTGCTTGGCGCCAGATGCGAGTGGACACTGAAAATGGAATATTTGCGTAATTAATAAAAATATAGCTATTTCGCTAAGGTGTAGGGTAATTGACTGCACGGTTGGTGCGGTGGCTGGGCAACCGGCTGCCGCACAACGTGTAGCGAGTTCTGTTTCGGGTCCCCCATGATGTAGAAGAAAATTCTAGTCTTGGAGCAATGTCTTTTTTTTAAATAAAAGTAATGGTTGTCTTATTGAAATTATAAGAATCCCATGTATTAGGAGAGAGATTTTTTATATCGCAAAACCATGCTGATTTCATCGGAGGCTACTACCAATCAAGCCCCCTATGAAATCAGCAGTCACTCTAGGCCGAGTGCGGCAAGCGACAAGAAAAGTGAGATTGTGAAATGAGACTGTAAAAATAATAATAAAATCAAGCTACATACAAAAGCGTTGCATATCCATATCGCAGTGCTGCAGCAGTTTCTGTATGGAGGAGGTGTTTGGTACAGCAGGTACATTGTTCCCAGTCACTATCACAGAGCCTTCTACCACCGCCTCCTTAAGCACTTCGCCGATTTCTGCTACTAACGCCTGTAACAAATGTTGTTCGGTTGTTATCGCCAAAATTACTGAACTGATTTTGAATATTTTTCATAGAAGAGAGAAAGGATCTTGAAAATGTTAGAGGATTTCCTTTTAATATGACTATTGTTTACTATGTTGTATTCAAATCATACAAAACATATTTCAGAATTCATGCTACTTATTAAATTACCTGAGTATCAAGGGAGCCATTTGCAGTCTTCTTGTTGTCATCTTTCATAACGTGTAGCCAGTAAGTTGTAGGAATGTGCTGTAACAAGATGGTGCGGCTTAATATCTGAGATTGGAGGTACACCTACAGTGCTAGTGCTACACCTGCTTTCAACCAGCAACCATGAGAACCATGTTATTTATTGCAATAAAGAGAAGAACACTGAGAGCTTCCTTTCCATCATCGTACCACAAGACAATCGTCACCGATTCATGGTAGATGTCTCACCCACACGCACGAAGCGCTTCGAATCAAGCTTCCATGTGCATACTGCTAAGGCATGGAATTTGTTGACAGTCTGTACTTCCTGAAGGCTGTACCTAGGTGTCTTCAAGGCCCGAGTGAATAGGTTGCTTATGGGTCGACGTGCTTCATCGTAGATCGCAACATCGCTTACCATCAGGCGAGATAGTGGTCAAACGTCGGCTCAAATATAAAAAAGCAGCAAACATCTTCTTTACTTGCATGTCACTTATCAAGCATGGGGATAGTGGCAAGCCCTTTCTTTTTAGGACAGAGTTTATTCAGCTGAATTACTTTAATGGGGGCTAACGTTGTTGCTCACCAAATTGCGCAAATGTAGGTAGGGGTATTTTTGTCCAATAAGGGCAGCTGTCAAATATTGAACGTCCAATGGTGTGACACTAGCTAATTGCCTGTTGGATAAAGAACGAGAGGTACGGTAGACACCTTTTTTTATATATTTCTACTTGCGACCCGCCCCCGGCTTCGCACGGGTGCAATATGCATGTATTATACATATAAACCTTCCTTAAGAATCACTGTATCTATTTAAAAAAACCGCATCAAAATTCGTTGCGTAGTTTCAAAGATCTATGCATACACAGGGACAGACAGACGGCGGATAGCGACTTTGTTTTATACTATGTAGTAAAGGGGGAAAATCATCGAATGACTTCTCTTGCATGGATGAGGCAGGAGGGAGTGTCAGACTCTTACTGACTAAAAACCACCCCGTTCCTACTCCTGCCCTTCGAGCCGGAGCCCAGGCAACCCTAAGTACTCCGTGGCTCCGTACTGGCATCAGCCCTATTTTGTAACAATGCTAATAATCCTAATTGCCATTACATGTGACCTCTACTTACATTAGTATCAGCAATCATGAGTATTCTATGTGCATGTGGCTGGTCAGTAGTGTCAGGAGACAGTCTGTTCACACAGTCAGGGTACATTTCCACTAGAACCACACTGTTTTCACCACCCAGCTTGCATTTACTCTGTTCCTTTATCGCTATCTCATCCAGTTTGTCGTATATTTGGGTCGCTACCTTCGGTTTTACTCCTGCAATGAGATTAGTTACTGTTTTAAATATCTTTTAGGTGAAGTATAATAGCAAATCAAGAATAAACTATAACACTTATACAACAAAACACTTATACACCAAAAGAATACAAACAGCTTGTAACTTCAACATTCATTTTTAACTTACCTCATTCTAGTTAAGAGAGCATGGAAAAATTTCAAATCATTCATTAGTTTCATATTTAATCAAGAAATCTCATATTGAACAAATAATACTAACATTACTACCACCATGGTCTTGAAATCTATAGACAACTAAGGTAATGAAGTATCCAAGAATAGGCTAGATGCCTAATTTTTATTTTAATGTCCGTCTGGTAGATTATTTTAAATCATTAGACACATATTATGTTTTTATTTTCTTATAGAAACGACATACTTTCGACAATATATTGATTTGAAATATCGCGTGACGTCACTTCTATGTACATTTTATACGTAGAAATGACGCTTTAGCCCCCACTCCTAAACTTTGATTCGTTTTGTCTAAGTATTGTTTTATTGTACGACAAAATAAAAAATATGTGTCTAATATTTGTTCATTACATTAGGTAATTAGATTTTTAATTTTCATACTCTGTCATCAACCCAATTGTATAGTAACTCTCTATCTTCATAGAGCAAAGATACAAGTATCAAGTAATTTAAATAAAATCTTACCAAAATGTGCAGCGACCACATCAACGTCTGCATCCTCACACCAAGCCAGTATTATCTGCATAGTTTGTAATATGGAACATTGCAGGCGGAAAAAGAAGGACCCAGCTCTAATCGGCTGAGTCTTGCCACATCCCTCACATATCCATTGTACTCTGAAAATAAAATACAATATTGAATATCAGAAAAAAAATCCTCTCAAAATCATTGAAGATTATATTGGGAATAATTTTAATTTAATAAAAATAGAAATTTTATTTCTCCAAATTATCTGGCTGTTAGATTAACTACAGTACCTAAATATCCATTTAATATATTAGTTCTTGATCTAACATGATCAATACACATACCTGTCAACGACTCTGGCTGTTCTACAAATAACATTGCAGTTAGGGCCCTCGGCTATACATTTAACACTCTTAGGTATTAATTCACATGATTGCAGTCTCTCCACTAATTGATACTCCAGCCTCTGATCTCCTTCCTTCGTTATAAAGTTCTTGTACAGTTGTAGATTACTGCAACATTTAAGTTTATTTTCATTTAGAAGATATGTAAGTAGATTTTTAGTCACTCTGCTCAAATTTTGTTGCTGACATGATCAATACATAGTATAAAACAAAGTCGCTTTCGCTGTATGTCCGTATGTATGCTTAGATCTTTAAAACTACGCAACGGATTTTGATGCGGTTTTTTTTAATAGATAGAGTGATTCTTAAAGAAGGTTTAAGTATATCATGCATATTGTACCCGTGCGAAGCCGGGGCGGGTCGCTAGTGATGAATAAAATTGATATCACACTCCACAACACAAGTCTCAAGTTACCATGTCCGTGTAGCACTAACAAATTCGGAGTTATTTGGAGAATAAATAGTGATAAAAACAAACGTACCCTGGCTGTGTGGTAAATGGCAGAACAGGTTCCGTATCTTCGGTTTTACTCAAGTTGCTAATATTGCTATCATGGGTCGTTGAATCTGGTTCCATTGCTGTGTCGTTAAAAACCCAAAATTTTACTTTATTTACACTTTAGTGTTTACAACATGTTATTGAATAAATAAAAGTTTGAAATCAAGTTACTATAAATATGAGTTGCTAAGAAAGCTTAAGTTTCCATTTAATGTTACTATCCCAATGATAAACTACAACACATTTTGTCAATATATTCAAGTAATGCAAGAGTTTTATGATAAAATCCAATCCAAATAAAAATAAATTCCAGTCTATAGACTTCAACCAGTCTGACTTTGACATTAACAAATTCATTTTCTTTCGTCATTTTTTATTATTGCCATATGCCAAAATAAATTGTAGTATATTTTCCCGTAAACGCCAATTTTCAAAGTAAACCCTAGTTCACAATATCTGATTAAGTTGCTGTTGGCATGTGACACAAATAACACAATATTATGGCATGGAAAATATTGTAAGTCAATTTCCTCGTCAAAAAGAGTTGGCACGATTTTGTAAATACAAATTTAGAATACATAAGATATAAGTTATGTGTCATAATTTGTTTGTAGTAGTACAATCCATACTACATAGTAACATGTTTGACTGACGCTAATCATTATTAGCGTGTACAGAAAAAAGATTCTGAATCTTTTATCGAGCACTACACAAAGTCATCTTGGTCAATTCCTGTCTCAATCATATCAGTGTTTAATATACTTTTTGGTGTAGGCTTAGCTTTGCAATTATTGACATAATGACTTTTTCAACTGGCAATATTGAATGCGTGCTTTCGAAGTTTCATGCTCAGTTTGACAGGTCAGTCAGTGTCATGTTGCTTGGATTGTTGTAGCACCCGCTGTGTTAGTTAATAATTTTTCCTATTATTTGTGTTAAACTATTATCAACAAATAAACTAAAGCCGTGCATTTGGAAACTCTTATTTAGCATGTAAGTACTGTTTAATTATTTTAATACTTTCTGTCACGATTTACGATTTTTAATGCCAATAATTTCAACACACCTTCAAACTTATAACTTAAAATGTATTTTCACGTTTTATGTATTAAACCGTAAGTCTATGTATGTTTTTAAATCTTGGATAACATAAGATACGATATTAGACAAGATTTTCATACATTACTTCAAAATAATATTAACTTTTTTTTAAAATACTCTGCAAAAAATCAATACATCGACTTTGGTGCTTATCTAAAGTTTTTTAGTACAATTTTTAAACAATTATTTTTGGAAAACTTAAAAAAATCTAGTAGCTATCAGAAGTACCTTACCTTAACTTACATTAAATTTACTTCAAGGTGTTCTACCTAAACAATATATTGATATAGGTAATTTAGTTCACTTTCCATAAAACATAGGTTGACACTAGTTTACATTTAAGTATAAAATAAATAAATAAATAGCCTTTTTTTCATTCCCATAGTTAGTAACAATGATACATATCAATTGGTAATAATTGAACAATACAAAAGTTCAACATAGTAAGTAAATATCATTTAACATCATATCTGCATTTAAGTATATTAATAGTATTTATTCAGATTCTTCCATAAACTGGAGCTTTGCCTAGGGCCTAGGGTATGACAGTAGACTCAGCCTCTACTATAAGGAATTGAGTAATTTTTTTTATTTAAAAGTAACTTAATAGTGGAAGTACCTTACAATGTGTGGTAAAACGGGGTGAATAGATTCAGGAACGGGATGAATAAATATTGGAAAATTTTCTTGATAAATTATATTCACCCTGTTTTACGGTACATTTAAAGTTTGAAAAATGTAAAAAAACAAAACACAAATGTAATATGTAGTTACTAATTTATGTTTTTATTATTGCATGGAATAAAAGGCTTTTTTATTTATTATCAAATGTTATTGTAGAACATTATGAAATATATTTTAATTATAACATATTGTTTACAATAACGTAGCTATGTTTAACAATCAATGTGTATGGTTTCCACCAATTACATTTTAACAATTTAATTGCAGTTCACTGTCCAGTATCAATTGATTTGTCCCATCGTAAATTAACAAATAATTGCCATAGAACATTAAACAATTAAGAGAAACACTTCTTCTTCTTCATCAAAAAGGAATAAATTAGATACTAAATTAATTATTATGTTTTCGGCTGACTCATTCAAATATCTGACGAGAAACTTGACTAGTATTTAATTAGGTACTAAAAAAATGTATGCTTTTCTTTATAAAACTTGATTTTTTTTTTCAATAAAGTTTCACTACTTTATTGTTAAAAGTAATTATACTATAGTTCATCATCTTCTTTTAAAACACCATCAAACTATAAAGTATTAATGAATATAGTTTTTAATACATGTAATTGAACTTATTTGGCATAAGCAACGGATGAAATCGTTGGCAGCTTCTGACTAACCAATTTAACAAACAAACACAAACTTTCACAATAATAATAATAATATAATAGTAGGTACTATTGTAATTGTGTTTTAGAAAACATATTTTTGATAATTTGTTACTAAAAAACTTTAATTTCCTTCCCCTTCCCCAATCTCCCCAATCCCTGAATCCCCAACGATCCTCAAACTCCTAATCCCCAAAAAGCCGGTGACGCACTAGTAACGCCTCTGGTGTTCCGGGTGTCCATGGGTGACGCCGATTGCTTACCATCAGGTGATCCGTATGCTCGTTTATCGGCTTATGCCATAAAAAAAAAATTAAAACTTCTATGCCCAATTTTCAGATGAATAGCATGTTCTATCTAACTTCCACTTTATCTTCCAAATAAGGTTTTTTCGTAAGAGGTACTCATTCCTAATTTTATTCTATTCATTAAAGCCTGTTATGGACCTGCAATTAAGGCAAGCCCATATTTAATTTTATCCCTACCATATTTGTATCATAACCATAATTAACAAGTCACAAAAAATTAATTAGGTATTATGTAGTTTGTGTATGGAAGTCGTAATTAACCAGTTTTAGACGTTTTCATTTGTACGTAATTTATTTAATTATTTAATACTACACAATACATAATATAATATATCTGATGTAATACAATTATATTATTATTTCATATTCAATTACTAAAATATGACTTATAAATAAAATTATGTATAAAGTAAAGTACCTAATAGATCGCAAGCTAAAATACCGAATACTTAGTCAACATCTTCACAAAAAAAAAACATACTGTTCTTCAATTACAAAAGTCGTTACAACTTTATTCGGACACACAGTGAACCAAAAATATCCAATAATATTGCGCTACACACATCTAAATGATACCTTATGTGGAATAAAACAAGCTTATCTGATCTCCGCGAATGCTCTCCAGTAATCTGTAACTCTGTACTAACTGGGAAGTAATAAAAACAATGCGAACTACTATTACCGAGTGAGTTTCAGAAATGATAAGTTCGAATACATATTTCATGTGTGGTTTCCGCATGGCGTGCGTGATTAAGGGCAATAGTTGAGTGACGCAACGCGCGTATTTTCGGCGGCAATATAACGTATTTCGTCCATAACCGTCGTGCTGAAATGTGAGTCGACGCTGCGCTGTGCCCGCCCGAACTTCGCTACTAATTGAGCTATTAACAGCTTCAACTTATACGTGACATACACGTACACGTTCAGCTAACGGTTATTTAGAAATAGTGCATTTACGAGTTATATTTAAATGACTTTTACTGCACTTCCCCGTGTGTTCAAGTTATTCTCTCAGAAAATAGCATAACCAACCGGGACGTTATGGCAAAGTAGCATATAGGTTTATACTTCACACGCTACACATACGGTTACGCTCCCGTAGCAGTGAACTGCCGAGTTCTCGGAAGACAATCTTCGTTTGACATCTCTAAACTCTTAAGCGCATTAAATTACGCGCATCTGCCCCTTGTTGCCGCAAATTGGGGTTACAAAACACGAGACGAAGAGATGATCCATGTTTAAACATGGACCGTCTACCTAATTATTTTTTGACTGGTCAGTTCGTCTAGTTTACACGCTGACATTAATAAGCTAATCCGTATCCGCTAGCCGTAGCTGGCTCATTAATGTCTAGATGTTCCAGAACCCAGCCATCTATCTTTTTTGCGATCAAAAGCTTTGCAGTTCCCCACAACATCTCTTGCAAAATATCGATGCCTATTAATCGATTTAACTACATGACTTTAAGCAACTAACTCGGTAGCAAACAAGAAATGTAAACAACTTGGTATAGAGAAAACTTCCCAAGTTCTTATTTGCATCAATGAATCAAAGAAAATGATTGATGATCGAGGATGTATGAGTACCATTGACAAGACAAGTGTCGCTCAGTACTAAGTTGAAAAACAAATCACTAATGTCACCATTATCTTTCCTCTGTATTATCGCCTCCATATTGATAATCTCAAGGAAACGAAAATATTAACAACAATTTCACATTCAACATCTAGGTCGAATTTAGTAAGTGTTATTTTGTGAGGCTAGTTCTAATCAGTGAACTAGGAACTGGCGATTCATGACTTTTTGGTAACATAGTAGCAGTAGATTCGTTAATAGTAATATAGTACTACTGTTATTATAATTTCTTTCAAAAATTAGATAAAAAAGTATGTACATAAATAGCAAGTACAATTTTTACCTACGTCTATTTTTTAATTCTTAAAACTTAATTAAAGCTGTCGCAAACACACGTCGTTTAGTCGCCCGACGTCTATAGCAATATAAATCATACCTAATCAAATAAACATTGTATTTTTACTACTGGATCATGTTTAGTTGTACCCGCAAATAAAACATTCATGTTTGTATATAGAAAATATTACGCGAACGCAAATACAGTTAAGATCGGTCTGCGAAATGGGCCACGACTATTAACATACTTTGTCGCCATCCAAAAGGCTGTGAATGGAACGTATTGGGAAATTTCACGTAATATATTTTGAGCAAGCATTGTTGTTCTCAGATTTATGTATCTGCGAACTGTGTCTTTCTCTCCATAACTTATAGGCACAATTTTCTACTCTGCATTAGGAAGAAACACGAAGATCTATAATTTACTGAATCGAGATTCAGGTGTTGCAAGCGAGTTGTAGACGTCTACGTCGCCGCCAAGTAATTACATGCAACATTAACGGAGATATGTTGGATGTTACGTGTCGGTACAGCCATCAACACTAGCGCAATTTCCTAACTACTACATTTTGGAAGAAACTTGTGCACTCAAATACCGATTTATCTTTGTACAATACATAGCTGAAGCACTAAAGATTGTTTACTGTTTTCAACTAT